CTTTGCCACCCAGAAAGCACAGACATAAAACAGAAAGTTAAAACTGCTGTCATTCAGAGAAAGGCACGCAAACATAAAATTATTGACAGGAGCTCTAAAAATGACAGCAGTAGAAATTGTGCAGTCGAATCTATTCCCCAAGTACCTGAACCATATAATGTTCTTATTAATTCTATTTGGAATTGTTAAAATAAGAGAGGTTACAGGCTGAAGAAGAGACCCGGTTTCCTCATGAATACTTACCTTGCTTCTTCCCCGGTGTCCTTGGGCTGTCATGGCCAACCTTTGAAGCTGTATCTGATTATCCATGCAGCAATTAATCATAATTAAGCAGGGCTGAGAATTGGAAAGGTAGAGGGAGGGTGGCTGTAGATCTGGCATTCATCCTGAGCAGACTCTGTTCCCTTTTGGCTTGAGGACCACTTGTTTGGTTCCATGTTTTTTAGAAAATGACCCCCCTGTGATATGTCCCATTTGTGTTTTGGTAATCCTGGCTCAACCTGGTTCCAAAGCACTCGAATTTGTGCCGTGTCCAAGAAGGAAAAAGCTGGAAATAAATTACTTTCCCGGTGCCAAATGACTTAAATTAAACATTTAAAAAACAATGTTTTCTTGTGACAAAAAAATAAAATCCAACAAAACACTTACATCATATTAAAGGTTGCCACAGTGATTATGCATACAAGGTTGGTACTGTTTCATTTTCATCATACTGTATTTCTTTTATTATTTTGCTTGGTGCCTCTTTTAATCCATGAGTATTCATTCCAGAATGAAATTTACATTAGAAAGCAGGAGAAAAATGTTTTGATTCAAAATAAATACCTTTTGTCACATGACATTTGTTATTTTCGTTGCTCCCTCTTTTCATTCAATGAGTGTTTTTCTACAGTGGCATTTATATTATGTTTGGCTAAGCATGAGGAAAAATAAGTAGATGATTTTTCAAATATATTTCGCTGTTCAATTTTACCCCAAATTGAACAAATTTAATATTTTTCAAACATTTTAGCTTGATTTTCACAATGGCGTGGATTTATTATGTGTTTAGAGTGTTAAAAGCGTGAGTAAACGATAATTTATTAGAACCTGCTACATTTCGAAAACTGCAGATTGGTCTCATCTGTAATAAGGCATTAACAACCAATGAATAAAAAGAATTCAGTGATCCATTGTAGAAGGGTGTTCCTGACCCTTGCTGGAGAAAAAAATAATTGTCTATAAAAATGCAAATATTAATACTGTATATTGCGATTTGACAACATTTAGCAAACATAATATTTAGACACTAATAGGAGTCGTAGCTGCTTTGTAAGTGAAATGCATCTGCATTTCAATTTTCAAGAAATATACATGTTCACACTCTCAGTAAATAATACTGTACATTGAAAACTCTAGAGGGGTAGGTGAGTGTTGAAAAGTTGTGCTGATGACAGCAGGGATTTAAGCAGTATTAATAATGTTAATATTGTGCCTTATCACAGATTTTAGTTTCTTAATAATATTGATTATCGTTATAACACTATCTTTTACTGCACAGTTCACAGTAAGAATATGGGCAGGAGCTTTTGTAATTAACACTATTAGAAAATGACATGGAGGCTGGGCACGAGGGCTGAATCAAAATGAATTTTAAATAGGGGAATATAATTGTAGCTGTTTTAAGTATAAGATTTAATAGTTTAATTTGATTGGAGGTTACATAATTTATTATTCAATTACAATATTCTCAAATCACACGGTTTCGTTTAACTTCTTTTGCACCAGCATCTGGTATTTAATAACATAAACAGTAAAAATGAAACCAAACAGTCGCACTTTTCGGAATGAAGGATATAAATAGGAAATAATATCTGTAATGCAGTTTACTATGAATTTGTATAAGACAATTATGCACTACAAAGATTAGTATAAACCCTTTACATACATTGGTTTGATTCCTAGTAAGGTGAAATGTTGGGCAAGTTTCCTTACTTCGCACGCCTCTGTTTACCTAAGCTGTAAGTAGGAACCCGTTTGTTAGTCGATTGGTGGATCGCTTTTTTTGGGGTAATAAACCCTTTAAAAAAAATTTGGTCACTCAATCCATGACTGTTTGTGGAACACTGCTGTGCGCAATTGGCTGCCTCGTGTCACCTACAAAATATACAGTCATTCACTTTACAGTATATTCTGTGAAGCGCTTTGAGACGTCTAGAATACGTGCTAAGGCACTATATCAAATGCAAGGATTATTATTATCATATGTTTTGGTCACTATCTTGTGAACTCTTGATACGTAAACATTTTTACTTTTAATATCACAATAAGCTTCTTTATCATGAGAAGCATTGTCATTAATGTTGATGGGACAAAAAGCAATGTTTTTTGGAAATACTATAATGCATTCTGGAACTATGCTATGGAGATCACAGTTACCTCCTAACATCCATGTCAAGTCAAATGAATCATAAGCAGAAACCATAATAACGGCATTGTGCAGGGTATATCATTGACAGAATGAATAGTAGAAGAAAATGGAGAACGATAGCCAGGCAAGCAAGAAGGACACAGCAATATTTTCTAATTTAATGTGAGTGAGTTCAGTTGAAAGTGGTATCATCAACTGAGATTTATGCACTGTGGAGGTTGTTGGAATAAACTGTTATGGTTTTACATGCATTTCGTATTGTGAAAAGTTGTGTGGGGTTTCATTTAAAGATGGGGTCACAGCATTTATTTTAATAAAAAAAGACGTATATCCCTCTCTCTAATTTTACAATGCTCAAGATTTTAAGATGAAATACAACTGCAACAGAATCTAACACCTAACTATTTATGTCTTCCGCACTTTACAGGAGTTCATATGCATATATGGTAGTGTGTACCATGTTGTGAATACAATTGTGGCTGTACTCAATCATTTTTTCAAATGCAATTGATACAACATACGTCAGTAAAGGTGAGTGTATTTTGGAAAGAGTCTGCATGATGCCTTTAGGGACAACAACCTTTGGTTAAAATATTACAGTGTAATGTATTACATAATGGTGCACAGTTTATTTTGAGAAACATTTGCCTCCACAGGGGTTGATCATTCAGTCAAAATTGATTGTGATCAAATAAAGAGGTTGGCACAGTACTTGAAATCAGGCACTTTGTAAGGTCCATTATTCTCCTTTGTTAACTAATGAAATTAGGACAGCGAAATCCAATTTACCGTGGATTTATAAAGTGGCAATGAGCTGTCACATAAATGCAAAGTTCAGTTTGACATTGTACTCAAAAGAATTTTATCTTTGTGGAATAACTTGCTTGTGTCACAAATGATAGGACAAATTCAATAGCAATCTGTGTGAAATTTTTGTAAAAGAATTGCAATAGTTTGGAAAGCAAGGCAATCTTTTTTTGAGCACCAACATGTAAAATTCCAGCTCTGTTCATGCAAGAGGAAGAGGAAAAGTGATAATAATTATTATTTATTTATTTATTTATTTGTTTATTTAGAAGGGATGATTACACTCAGAAAAACGATCCACCAATCGACTAATAACCACGTTCCTACCTAATGCTAGGTAAACAGAGACGTGTGGAGTAAGAAAACTGGCCCAATGTTTCGCCCAGCCCGGGAATCAAATTCGCTTATGAGGCGGGTGCTTTAACCACTACAGGACTCCACATTACCCAGGAGGGAGGACCCAACATGTCAATTGTTGCTAATTGTGTTAAGTCCAGCAGAGCAGTGACAAGACATGAATAGATGTCAATATGATTACATCCAGTAAATCAGGTAAGGACTTTTTGTATCATTAAATTCCCGGCAGACAGGATAACAAACATTGTGTGCATTATGGCTACATGGAGTCAACGAATACCATTTATTACTACTCAATATTGTGTAGAAGTAGTACGATTGAAAGTACCAAATAATGAACAATCCTATAAAAGTATCAACAACTCATTGAAAACAGCGGTTTCGATATACAAAACAGAAGTTTCAAGACAAAGGAAGTCCTCGAGAGAGATTAAATCTATGGAATCTTCCATGTGGTTGGAACAGATCCAATTCACAGTTTTCATCAACAACCCCAAGTGTTTCCAAAATATGATGTGTTTTTAATGAAGTTGTGTGAGAGAACAGCAGAAGCATCATGAACAGAAGAAATGCCCTAACCTGAATCTATCTGGTCTTTGTTTCATTTCTTAACTGTGGCCACTTGTCTATTGGTAATCACTGACAACACTTGTTGGACACGATACAGGAATTTACAATCAATTCTTAATCCAATGCAGATAGAAGGGTATTTTACACTACTTCTAGTACCTATTGCTTCAAGATATTGCAAGAAAACTACATAACAATACTGTTTGCAAAACTATCTATAATTGACTATCAATCTAGATTTAGTGCAATTAGAATTTTGAAAGTGAAAATAGTAAAGTTTAAAAAAAGCTAGTTTTGCAATTCATTGAAGTACCTCTGTACCTATTTATGTTTTAAGTGAAAATGCAACTTTAATTTTATCAAGCTATTCAGTTTCCTGTGGATAGCCATTTGTGAAAATATTCTGAATGACTGTTTCAGCTGAAACAAAAATAAAAGTAACTCCAATGTAGCAATTCCAAGTTTATTCTCAAAATACAAACATAATCTTGTTTGGATCAGATCAGCAACACCTTTCCTTTACAAAATAGTGCAATGCAATCCATTTTCCATGTTCCTTGTCCACAAGATTCCCTGTAGCCAGGCATCTGGTATCTGTAACTTTCACCATATCAATAAGGTTCATGGCTTGTAATTTTCATGAAACATGTGGAAATCCAGGCCATCCAGTAAGAAACAGCTTCCCTGATAGTTTTGTTTGGAAACACTGTACTACAGCAAACAGTTGAGTTTTGGTTGAGTCAGTGTTCCCTTATGTTTTTACCTGGAGTCCTGTAGCTCAGTCGTTAGAGCACTCGCCTTGCAAGCAAATGACCTGGGTTCGATTCCCGGCAGGGCGAAACCTTGGGCAAGTTTCCTTACTCCACACACCTGATAATAATCCCTCAAGAAAAAAAAACAATGATAAATTGGTCACTTCAATTCACGACTGTTTATGGACACTGCCGTGCACATTTGGCTGCTGTGTTTCAATACAGTCAATTCACTTTACAGTATATTCTGTGAAGCGCTTTGAGACGTCTAGAAGACGTGATAAGGCGCTATATCAAATGCAAGGATTATTATTACCTGTGCAAGCAGTCTTCACAATGCTCAAAGTTTTGTAAGCAGGCATCCAATTCACCCATAATGTGTGGCTGAGACATGAATTTCCCTGTTCAACATTGTACTGGCAGAAAAAAACAGCACATTATTGAGTCTATAATCAAGAGGAAACACAAATATTATATATATATATCATGTATGTTTAAAAATCCCAATTTGAAACAAAACAAAGACATTGACAAAGAGTTACATCAAATGATTCAACTTGAAACATTGACATAATTTAGAAAAAGCAAAGGATAAGTTTGTTTGTATAAGAAATCACCTGGAAGTCATTCCCTGTTCTGAGAAAAAAATCATTTGAAAAAAATCTTGAAATACTTAGTTGTATAAAGAATACATTTTCCTGTTGGATTTATATTTAAATTGTCACAGTACCTGAACAATATATTCTGAATATGGTTTGTACCATAAGTGTAAAAATATTTGTAAGAAACAAAAGATTTTGTCTTTTGGTATAAGGGTATAGTTATAAAAGATGAACATTGAGATTTTGTTTTATATTGTTTTCCGTTAGGCCAAAAGTCATATCTGTTACTGTTCCGTCTCTGATCATCACTGAATACCAGAGAATCAGATCTACAGCCTCTTTCAATCAATCAGACGAATTGACTTGTGCTCTTTCCCCCCCACCTTACACACACACACGCACAAAGCTTGCAGGATTTCAATGTATAAATCTTCCCCACACAGCTACCATCTATCAGTTGCATACTCCATAATTTGTTCTTATTTTTATAAAGGACCTACCTTTGTGGTTCCAGTCACAGATGCTAGCCACAAATCAACTTGTTGCAAGATGTTAACTGCACACGTGAGGATTGTAAAGCACACAAAATGGCTGTGCACATTTACTGCTGTTGCATATTAGGTGGCGTAGCAACAGGGTGCAGCCAGAGGCAATAGTAACGAGGGCAAATGTCTCACACAGTTTCCTCTGGTGGTTGCTGTGAGCATAAAAATAACTGGAGAATATGTGTTGGGATGTTGTGGGGGGAAATCCAGAGCATTCCAGTGGCCTAATACATGCTCAAGCAACCTGATGGTGGTTAATCCATGTTTGATCTTCTGTACACATCTGGATCAGAATTATACAGGCAGCAGAAACAATTTGTAAAGCTTTGACATTGATATTCTATGCAGAGCGATTTTTTGTTGAGGTGCAGCTGCAGCTCTGTTGTGTACCTGACATAAAGATGGAGGTCTTGCAGAAGCATACATGATTTTGTGGTGCTGGTCTGTTTATAATGTTAGTGATGGCCCTTATTCTGCAATGCTACAGGGTATGTGACATCTTACCAACTTTATATTGATCTTGATGATTCTGCGTATTGTTGAATCTAAGAGCAAAATACTGGCCTTCCCTGAAGCAATCAAGTAGATAATGATATTTTAATACTAGATACATACATATTGTGTACATAAAGCTGGCTAAGGACGTAATGCATGGAATAAGAAGATTATTTGGACCAACATGTTTAAAAGGAAGATAGGCAGATACTTGGATAGTAGTGGTGTTGAAGCATATGATATAAGAGCAGGGGATGGGGATTAATAGATCTGCCAAGATGTAATAATAACATAATCCTTACATTTAATAAAAGCACTGCTCACATCTCCATTATTCAAATCTGGACTCCCTTCGCTCCAAAAGTCCATGAGGAGACTACAAAACTTGTCAGTGGAGGGAAGAAGGCTGGCTTTGAAAAGTAGTGATGTTTAAGTATTCTCGAATCCTAAACTTATTCACTGCAACTGCAACTCCACCCAATCTGTTATCAATAGCAAACATGACCAACATTGTTTACGTTTTCATTTTGAAATGCTTTATGTAGAAAGGTAAAAATAATAGTTATATTAATACTCCTTGCATTTAATATAACACCTTCCATGTTGGGAGAACATTTCAAAGCTCTTTACAGGATATACTGTAAGAAGCCCTAAGCCTGAAACTACTAATTACAAACTTTGAATAACTGTTTTTTATTTGCTCACTTTTAGCCAAATCCACATCTGGTGTAGAAGCTTTCTTACGTTATGTCTCTTATGTGGTATGGAGTCAATGGGTTTGCTAAAATTCTTATATGCAAATGTCCAGAGTTCCTCTTTTCATCCTGTACAATGGTAATAGATTTGTTAGGCAAGACTTCCCTTCCATTATTTTATACTGGCTCTCACTTACTATTGTATATCTAGTTAAGAACTTTATTGTCAATTGTTAAGAATAACTCTAATATCTAATCTTACTTGAAGCTCTGTTTACTTTTAAACCTACACTCTCTGATTCCAGTATCATTTCTGTTTTTATTGACTCACCGTAGCTTGGATGGGAAGTCAGGTTAGACCCAACAAAGGTTTGTTGAAGTGAAGTGGTCTTGAAGATAACATAAACATCATCCAGTCCAATATCTCGATTTTGCCTACAAAAGCTTGCAGTGATTCAACCATTGCTTTTCTTTCAGATGAAGAGTTAAGCAATCTGCAGGAAATGGCATTGTCAGCAAATATAACAATAACACTTTTGATGGCGTGGCAGGTGAGCAGCTGGTCGTTGATGAAGATGATGAACAGATTGAGGCCAAGCATACTTCCCTAGGGGAGCTGTGCAGAGGTGCTGTAATAAAAAGATGAACATCCATTTATTATGACCCAGTGCCTACGTCCTCTGAGAAAGTCATGTATTCAATTCAAATTTCACCAAATATATCAAAAGAATTCAGTTTCGTAACAAGTGACAATAACCTAACCTACCCCATGTTCCTCTACCCAATAAAAATGGGAAGTCCGTCCAGTTTAACGAATTTTTGCCGGAACAGTAATGAAATTGCACTTATTCTTAAATGCCGTCTGTGACAAAAGCAATTTTAATAGAGTAAATGAAAGCTGATCGGCAAAATGGCCATGACTCGTCAATACTGGAGTCTAAATTGTAGCATTTCACAATCAGATTATTTAATAAGGAATCCTGTTAGAATTCACACTGGCCAGACACAGGTGACATGGGATTAGTTCCCATACTTGCCATGACCGGTTATCGGATGGAATCCCAGTTTGTACCATTTGATTCCTTATTAGGTAATACAGGTACCAAATACAGCAAATTAGACCCCGATGTATAGTTTACACCTAAAATGGCTTACGAGCCAACTGAGTAATGTTAAAAAACAAAAGTCTGTGTGAAGGACAAGCATTGCACAGAGGGAAATCGTGTGATGAACATGGCTCAGAGAGCAATCGCTGATTTTCTGATTTGGCCCTGCAAATCTAGTGATGGAGCACATTCAGTGGGAGAAATCAGACCCCAAAATGCAAATGGAGAAGGGGAAAGTTTTGGTGGCATATGAGGGGGAATGTGACTGCTGTCTCATAGGGCCTGAAAATGTTTGAACACACATTACTTGAATACACTGCTAAGAAGCTATACTTAACAGCAAGGGAAATTTCATACTATAAAATTTTAAAAAAGTATTTGCCTTTGAAAAGATGAGGGTAGACTATAGTAAAAACGAACGGAATCCTCTAGCCAGAATTCCTGCTGTTTCTGAATTGTAATATATACATATTTTGAAAACTACACCACTGGGATTAAATATGTGCACTTAACTATATTAGAAAACTGAAATGATGAGAACTGTGCCTCAAGGTTTGTGATACTGGATTAGGTCCAAAGTGTTATTGATAAGTGTGCTCCACAGAGGATCAACGTTGTTGGGTTGCTTCTCTGCATGTTGGAAAAGTTTGTTCTTCATTCTACATTTTCTCCCAGTGGCTCCCAGTTTTAGTATCATCACAATGATAAACTCCTGGTCAATTTTCCAGCTTAACTGGATGTGAGGCAGTGGGACAAGAGTATTTATTGCACAGAGAAAAATCAACAGGAGGAACAGGTTACCAGAAAGAGTGGTAAGAGACCAGGGCACTGGACTCATTTAAGGTCAGTTTAATCTGTATTGGGAAGATGGTAGGTTGTGTGTTCTGGAAAGATGAGATCAAAGGGTTGAAAGTCCTCTTTGATTCTTACTTCTAAAGAGATAACTTGTACCTCTTGAGAAATTTTGCCAAGGCTTGTTTTTTCATTGGGACAGATCTTTGACTCAAAACTTGGAAATGTGCTTTCCCTATTTTCCTGAATGTCTGATCTTTCCCATTAACAAAAAAACCTTCTTGGTTATTGGTTACTGTGTTAGCGAACCTTTCACTAAATCAAGGCTATGAACCAATTTCAATGCACAGTATAGCGGTTGAAATGTGTTATAGTTTTAACCCTCTTGCACAGATCCTACTTGAGAACTTCTATTTAAGCAAACGGGGAGACGTGTAGATAACCTGAATGAAATATTGAATTATTATCGTGACTGGTACAAACATTGATATTTGATGCACAATTGAAATTAATGGAGTGTATCTGTTTGTCAAATGAGTTAGAGGAGTCTCCACTTTGTGATTTAAAATAAAAGAACCTTTACATCTGCCAAAATAAGGTAAGATATCACGTATGAATGATTATTTCACATATAGCATCCTAAGCAATTTATGAAGACCTCTCATTAGATAAGGTGGATGTAATTATATCATTTACACTGGAAATTACAGTAACCAGAACAAAATGGTGCCACATGGCAAAGAAAATGTAAGTAAATATATAACAATAATAATTATAGATTACTCTTAAGTAAAATATACCACATCCAAATTTTTTATCTCAACAGATTCAATTACTGGGAATCTGAAACCTGCATTTTGATTGGCTTTGAATCAGCTTGAAGCCGAGCCAATTAAAGCAGAAAATATAAATTAAAAAGGTGTCAGAATGTAAAAACAATCTCAAAGTTTTTATAATAATAATATTTTCTTATTCTTAGCCAACTAGAAATAGTATGAGCACCTCCTTTTATTGGGCAAGAGTAAGTGGGGGTTTTCCATGATGTGTGTTCAGTTTTGAAAGTTAATGCTGTAATTTGTTTCTACACAGATGTTATAAATGTAGATCTTAGAAGCACTTGAGTTCAGAAAACAAAATAATGTTAATGTAAATTGTAGAATGATTACAAATAAGTGTGTTAGCTAATAGATTTGATTAAATTACTGGGCCAACATTATTATTACAAATATAGAAAAGCGTGGTTTTCGATCATACTGTATTAACGAAACTTTATGAACATCCAACACGCTTACATGCTGAGTGTACGAACTGTAGGGGTGTCATCCCTTAAAAAGGGATCCCTATTACAATAGTGTTAGCTTGGGTCAATTTAATAGTACTTGTGCCTCTGAGGCAGAAGAGTGTGGGTTCAAGTTCTGTGTTCAGGATTTTGAGTTCATAGTTTAGGTTTGCGCTCCAGCACAGTGTTGGGGGAGTGCTGCTTTTTGTAGTGTTGTCTTTCAATTGTGACGTTGGTAGACATTAACTTTCTTGTAGAAAATTTGCAGCCAGAGGGATTCTGAAACTTCACTGATACCAACTGTTGTATGTTCACACAGATCAGGGGGTAACTTTGAGCGATAACCTCCACAATAGTTTACATGGAATAGCACAGGTACACCCAGTTGACTATGATTTTTAAATTTTTGCTAATTTCCAGGTTTGGTTTGATGTACCTTTGATGAGGCTGCTGAATTATAAAACAATGGAGGAGTTCCTTTAACAAGTGAAATTAGGCATTTTCTCCTTCCTTTTTTGTTACTTTTTTATTCTCATTTTTGAGAGTTAGTGCAAGCTTAACCCTAAGTACGATCTCTCAAATATTCCACTCCTGTTTACCCACATCTATTTTTGCTAAGATTAGTGACCAGAGGAATGTCTGCCACGTTATCTGAAGCA